AGGACAAGGCATTTTGGAAGAAGTTCCAAACTCATCTTTCTTTTTTTCTACGACATCGATAGTGAGGGAGAGTTCGACATGGCATGGAGCACAATGGCTGTTGATTGTTTCCCAAATAACGAAATTGCGGACGGTCACCCATGGTTGGAATATTTGAAAAAAATTCGTCATTGATGGTGTTCCTTATGATTGAGAGATCAATTCACAGCCGGGATGTTGACTACGCAAAACAGCGAGTCGTGCAATGCACAAGCGTGACTTTTCTTGAAACAGAGGCATGATTTAAACTTGTTTTTATTCACTTTAGCAGGTACTTACGCAATATATTTATTTGCCTTTCTTTGATATTAGCTTGTTAGGTATGGATATTTTTGTTTGTCATCTGGAAATTAATATGCTTTTGTTAAATATTATTTTTTGTTGGTGGGATATTAGTACTAGTCTGAGTAGATATTGATCTAAGCACTAAACTCTTTTCTCGTGCTTTCTAAATGTAGTTTGTTGGCTGAAAAAATACAAAAGGAGACTGAATCTGACTACAATGGGAAACAATCGATTCCCTATATAATGTTAGAGCACAGCCCGATCCTACAACATGCGACAAAGATCTTTACTTCTAACATCTTCAATCGGATACATGAGCAGTATTTGAAAACTGAATCTTATCTAATGGAGATGCTCTCACATACTAGGGATGATGGCATGATTGGCTACTGCACATATATGATAGAGGATGGTGAGCGTAGTGATGAGCGTGTCGTTCTCATCGATATTCCTACGAGAACATTGGTATGCGAATGCAGGATGTTCAGAACTTTCGGAGTGTTATGCCGCCACATGATTAAGGTGATGCGGCTTCATGGAGATTTTGGGGAAGCCAGTATGAGAAGTATTCCAGATCATTACATACTCAAGCGATGGACGTTGGAGGCGAGAAAGAAAGAGGTTTTCTAGGTTGTCCTTGAGTAGTGTAGTTCATTAGGGTCTAACTGCCCCTGTTGGTCTTTCAGCTGCCAGTGAGAATGATGCGGGAAAATGTATAGCAATGCGGTACCGAGAAACCACTGCAATGTTGAATCAACTAGCAACGAATATGTCAATGACCGATGAGAAAGATTACAATAAGTGGACGAGAGTACTCAAAAAACTGTGCAATGAGGCAAACAAGGCATTGTCAAAGACTATAACTAGCGAGGACAGTAAGTGTATTCACTAATATCATTTGTAAATTGTTATGGTTTAATATCATTGCATTTACTAAATTCTCTAACATTGTAGGACGGAATGTACCGATAACTGGGTTGACTTTGAAGGAGAAGAGTAATCCAAGGAGCCAAGGTAAGGAACGTTATCAGTCTACGAATGAAAAGGAACGTCGTCGAAAGAAATGTGTCTATAAGAAGAGAATGAAATCAGTTGAAGTGGTCACGCAGGACAACAATACTCAACCGGATGACCATCTTAGTGATTTGGATGATAATATTACTCATGGTTATGAATAGAATGTAGGGTGGTTCGAGAGTGGTCTATTATGATATATGATATTGACATGTGATTCCAAGATACTTTTTTGGGATGATGTTAATATTAATCCACTTGTAAAAGATACTTGTCTGGGCAAACTGGATATGTAGTCTAATTCATGGAACAGGAAACCAGATCGTACCGGCCGACTCAACCGAAAAAATCGGAAACCGGACCAGTAGCGATATGGTACCCATTTTGCAGCTAACTTACCGCGCCGGCCGGTTTTTCCGACTTAACCGGTACGAGCCAAAATATCGCCCGGTTTTGTTCCGGCCGGTGGTAGGCTGATTTCAAAAACATACGCGTTTCATGCGACGAAATTGGGGGGGAAAATGAGTCGTCCAGTCTTCTTAACTAACAACCCTACCCTAATTGATTCTTCCTTCCCAATAGTTTCACTTCAGCCTGCCGCTCCCTCCTTTCCCCCTAGGGGCTTGATTCGATTTCTTGGAGATAGAGGGACGAGTAAATCGATAGAAGAACAGGGAGGAAGGAGATGAAGCGACGAAGAAAGAGGAGATGAACCTAGATTGACGCTTTTTATGGTCAATTTGGTGGGTCTGGTTCTTTTTTTACAGTTGGAGGAGTAAATCGAGAGAAGAGGCATAACGGGGAGAAGTAAATAGAGCGAGGAAGGAGAAGGAGAAGGAGAAGGAGAAGGAGAAGGAGAAGAAGGTTTTTCTTTCTCCGTTGTCTTTGACAGACATGCATAAAAAGGGATAGAAGATGGAAGGTTGGGACTTGGTATGGGGTTTTCTTTTTTGGTATTTTTTTCCTTGCCAAATGAGAGGAAGGAGAGAATAAGGTGAAGAGGCGGTAGGGTTTCTTGCTCTCCCTCTCACGCCATCCTCATATTGTATTTCAAAACATAACCAAATGACCAACTTGTTTCTTCAAAATTACCCCTTGCCACCTTGATTTTGTAAAAATACTGTAATGATCCTTTATTGAGTCCGCTGATGATTAAAAACAAAAAATTCATGATGATGTAATTAGTTAAAATGTTAGATGTTATATGATAATTTGTCCAATTTATGGCTGGTTTGCTTTTTATTCTATGATTATTTAGTATTTTATTATTCGTTGTCCGATATTATTCCAGTATAATTCCGGTATTTCTTCGATACGGTAGGCTATTTTCCCCGACATGGTATTTTAATGAAAATATTTATTTTTTATGAAAAACGGTATTTTACCGGTATAAAACGGTTGAACCACGGTCGTACCACAAAATATCCTGCCACAGACTTATCCGGTATGATCTCCGCTACGGTTTCCTGAACCATGGTCTAAATGTCTAATATGTACAGATATTAGTCTGGGCTTCCTGAATATCAGTATTTTCAAAAGTAGGTTCAATAATACCAATGATTACTTCTTTCATTATTCACATGTGACATTTTTTGTTACTATACTCATGTGATGTTTTTTGTTTCTATTCTCTAAAGACATGTTAGAGTACTTCCCTATGAGAATTTGTCTATTTAAGACAAATCGTACACAAACCCAAATCGGCTATCCTCCTCCCTCCGTTTCTTCTTCACTTCTCTTCCAAAGCAAAATCCATGTCTGAAGAGACTCCTAAACCAGCGCATCGGGGATTGGTGGATGAGTTCGAATATGATGGTGTTATACTCTGTTACCATGGTTGGAGAGTCGCTAGACGACTTGCTGTTGATGGAGTCAACCCACCGAAGAGGTATTTCCGATGTCTGATGTACGAGTACGAAAATGATAAGGGGTGTGGTTTTCACATGGATTGGGACGAAGTAATGTTCCCCGCTTTTTCAGAGTCGGATGATGAAGATAACACCGAGAAGACCGTGAAAAAAATGAATTAGTATTTCCTATCATCATTTTGTATTGTGTTGAGTTTGTTTCTATTTCTGATTCAAAGTGTTATCCATCTTTATCTATTATTAGTCTGAGCTCCAAAGATATTAGTCTACAAAAAGAAGGGTATCGGTCTGGGCCTTAAGGGCATTAGTCTGGGCTCTATTGATATTAGTCTATAGGAAGACGGGTATCTATCTGGGTTGTTTGGATATTGGTCTGGGATTTGTTGATATTTGTCCAAATAAAGAAGGTATTTTGTCTGGGCTGTAAGGATATTTGTATGTGCTTTAAGGATATTAGTCTACAAAAAAAAAAAACAGATATTTACCTGGGAGGTTACGATATATTTTTTCAATCAGAACTTATGTTAGTAATTATATCCAACATCTGGCAAAATCTCCTTCATCCTGCTACAAACCATCATCCATCCCTGAATATTGTCCAACCCTAAATAGCATCCATCCCTAAATATTATCCAACCCTAAGTTCAGTTTTACAAACCAATATCACACTACACAAGTCTAAAATCTACTTCTCTTTCTTTTCCCTTTTTCTTTCTCTTTCTTCGTATTTCAATCTTTTGCACCTTGAATTATTGCATCGATGCGGCGGTTATAGTCCCATAAAATGAGGTTGGCTGCAATCCGTGCTCGCTGTTCCTCTACATGGGGCTGCTTGTGCCAACTTGCTTTATATTCCACTGGAAGGTGACCCGCTCATTGCTCCATGTAAAGGCATGCAAATACACCGAAATCATGGTTGCCTACTTGCTGAGGAATGCCGGCAATGTTGAATGACCACTCATCCAATGCACAATCGACCCCCTGGGCGTTGAGGAATGCTGCCACATACCCAAAAATCATTTTCCAAACTGGTCCATGATCCTCCTTAGCCACTCGGGCATTGGGCTTTATGTTGTCGAGTAGGAAAGTCTTCTTATTCTTCATGTCGGTCGCGTACACCCGGTAGTGATCATTTAGATACATTCGAAAAAAGATATGAAACACAAAGAAGTTAGTGAGTTAATCATTGACTAATATCCTAACAACACATATTAATATCTCAACAAATCAGAATAATATCCTATAAACCCAGACCAATATCAAGGAAAATCATTAAAAAATCCAAACATTGGAGATACTTACGTAATCACATCTTTTCAAGTTTTCCCGTTTCATAATTGGATTCCTTTTGTGCATAGAAATATACGCAGGGAGTCTCGCCTTGTCCATGAGTTGTTTTTTGACAACATTACTGACTGCATTTTGCTATTTAGAAGAGACAACAATATTAAATTAGACATTTTCAATATAAATAGGATCTAGGTAGTGAAGATAATACTTACTACATATCTCCATGGGAAGAAAATTCTCTTCACCACCTCCTTGCTTACTTCTTTGTTATTTAGGAATAGCCCGTATACAACAAGTACTTGGCTATGCAGCCAATTTGTACCCTTCAATGAAAGTAGTTGGGAACGGGTAAGGTTACCAGTTGGAGTATCCACGACAAATTTGCCATTGTAAAACACAAATGAAAACCAGGTTAGAAATGTGTGTGCGACAAATTGAAATTGGTGATTAAATAACTCCCCAGACAACATACTTGTCTTTAGCAGTGGTACTGAAGATGAACTCAACCACTTGCAGAGCCGTATCGTCGAGTTTTGTCGACAGAGTCTTTGGTAGAACGTACACTGATTCGCCAAATGGGTGGTGTTTTGACCTATCAAACTCTGGAGTTTTTAGGGTTGCCTTCCATGCTTCCGGTGTGATAGAGTACATATACTTTGCCTCCTCCTCAGTCCTAAATTCTCTCAGAAATGATAATATCATCGTTGCTATCCTCTATCCTCTCACATGTTGCTGCTATAAGCTCCTCCTCGGATTGTCCTACTTCTCCTTCCGTTAGAACCTTAGTAGAAGGATCGACCACCATAGTCGGAGATGTTGTGATACTCTCATGAGCAGCAGTAGCTGCCTCGATAGGTATCTGCAAAACATTGCCAAATGCTAGTATCTACTCAACAAGAAACAAATATCCTCACAGCCCAGACTAGTATCTACAAAAAAAAGAAACAAATATCCTGGCAGCCCAGGCTAGTATCCACCGAAAAAGAAACAAATATCATGTGAGTCCAGTCTAGTATCTACTATTAAGGGAAATATTACCATAGTCGGAGATGTCCTGATACTCTCTTTAGTAGCAGTAGTGGCCTGGAACTAATATGCATCACATCAGCAAATGTCGTATCCGGGTCGGTATAATGTATGACCATAGCCTGGACAATTGACTATGACTCCACCACTGGATCAAAAGTAGACACAATGGCCGGCAACTCCATGTGCTGAACTACCGGATCAGCAACAGTATCCATCACCTCGGACTCAAGAAATGACTCCAACTCCACCACTTCCCCAACAGTCGACTTACCGACTAACTCAACCACATCATCAACTGTTGATGTAACGGCTGACACCTCCAACTCCTGAACAACTGGCAACACTGTCTTCTTACGTCATTTCCCAGAGTACACGCGGCTAAACATGTTGTTGTCTCTCACTGTACCTTGACTAACCTCCTCCTCCATGACAACTACCGGATTTTCCTCCTCCATGACAACTACCTCCTCTTCCATTTTTGCTTTTGTTGCTGCTACCAAAGACGAAGAAAATACTGCCAATTTGCCCCGATTCCTGTCAAGCTCAGCACCCACAAAGTCGAGCTGGAAAACGGGTGCAAGCATATAAATGTTATTATCCGGACTGCCCGGATAAGTATCTAACAATTAAGAAACGAATATCCAGAAGAACACAGATTAATATCTACTTGTGAAAGATTTAATATCCTGAAGTTTTGTACTAGTATCCAGAAAGCCCAGACTACTATCTACTTATGTAGTAACTAGGCTTTAAGGAACTATTAACCTGTGCTTCCAATCCAGTATCCATAATGCAAAAATATCCAGATTGAAAATAACTACTACCCAGTTATAAAAACAACTGTCATTCATGCAATTCATAAATAATATCCAAAACAAATACACAACAATATCCAAAATCAACAGAAAACAAACTTTTGATCGATACAACTATTGTTCAAAAGCCATTAGCAATTATAGCATTCTATCAAGAAATCCATTCCAACATGGCAATTATAGCATTCTATCAAGAAATCCATTCCAACATGACAATTATATCATCCTATAAAGAAACATTACAACCCCTTAAATAGAAGAAACATGAAAAGTTCAATTCTTGTCTTACTGGCGCTTAATGGCAACACTTCGGACACTTTCCCGCCATGAATCCCACTTATGCATCACTTTTTCAGTCAAGGACTGCAGTGCCTTAAGCTACAGATACATCTCAAAAAATTTAGTTTACTACATGCACTCATGTCTACTAACCCACAATTTTCACTTTAAAAGACAATCATCTACATACCTCGTCGGTCTCAAGGGATTCCAAGTCTGTTTCCTCCCGCCATTCCGTCACGTAGAACTGCGGAGAAGCTGTACGAGGAGCTGAGATGATTGTTCCTGATTCCCATTCCCTCCTGACACGTCCTGGAAAGAAGCGAGATCGGACTTCTTCTCTCGACAGCAACACGAGAGCCACATTATATAGCTCCGCGCCTCCGCCTTGGGGATAGCCAAGCATAGGTTATCCACCCTTGCTTCGAACCAATAGTTGCAGCTGGGGATTGTATTTGTGGCGAATCCTCTCACCATAAGGAAATCCATCAAATGAAGCTACAAAAAAGTGTCTGTTAGAAAATATATCCCAATAAAAAACAACCATTATCCAGGCAGCCCAGACTAGTACCCAGTCATGAAAAAAGATACCTTGTATAAAAATAACTAATATCCCAAGAATGCTAACAAATATACACATCTTTAAAGTTTAAACTATAACTTACCATCAAGAAGTGGATATCCCCATTAACCCACTGCATCATTTGTCCCTTGGTCCTAGCAGCAACTTCTCTTTTTTTGGTAACAGACAGCTCTACCTTCAGCTCCTAGGCGACATGACCACTCCAATTAAAAGTTCGAATGTCCTCAACCCACCCCGCCAAGTACTCTGCATAGTCGAACTTACAGATACGAGAGCTTGTTGGAACGAGCAACGAACCAAGAGGCACAAGTAGGAACTGCTTCACTGCAACTGCAACAGGTAGTCTCCTCCTCTCTCTCCCCCGACCTTTAGTCGACTTAGTCAACTCCACAACTTTAACATCTCGTTCCCGATTACCCTCCATGCATAGCTCCTCCTTCAGAACCTTGAGCATCGACTTATTTGCCTTCACAAGATCAATCTCAGCACCACCAAGAGGAATGTCGTATACACGGGCAGCATCCTCATCTTGGATGGTGAGCACCTATTGCAGGTCAGATGAACAAAGTGCAATGAGCCAGAAGGTCAAACATACAACAAACAATCCAATAAGAATATAACAAATGGTGAGCACCTTCTTGTTCTCGCCTTCACCAAAAATGAAGTTGTCGGTGCACATGTCGTAATGTGCTATCAAGGTAGGCAACATCTCCTTAGGAACATTGGCCAGCCTAAGCTCAAATAGGCCTCCAAATCCAGCCTTCTCAATCTCTCTCTTGCAAGCTTGATAGAACCGTGGATCTTGCTTCCAGTCTTTTATAATTGACAGCACCTTCTTGGTGCTACAGCGAAATCTACATCGGCGCCCTCCTCCTCCTTTAGAAACTTCCTCATCATTTTCGTTGTCCTCATCGTCTTCCTCCTCATCATCTTGGTCATCATCGTCTTCGTGCTCAATTTCTGCATCCTCAAAATCAAGATCTTCTTCCTCATCTTGCTGTTGTTGTTTAGCACGTTTAGGCCTCGAGGTTTCGCCTTCTGTTCTGGTCCTCCTTGCTGCAGTAGCTATAGTTCTTGCCATTGTGATTTCCCTGCACAGTAGAATATCCAAATTCGTCAAACAACTATCCATGCAATTCACAACTGATATCAAGCTCGACCAAAACCAATATCAACGTAGGAATATCCAGATATACCTCACAAATATCCAGGCAAATGAAAACTAATATCCTTCTTGAACAGAACTAATATTGGATCCCAGATACACAAAATCCAGAACACAAGCAACCTAGATCCAGTCAAATTAGCAAAAATTAAAATCGGGTTACCCAAAATCGTAACCATGCACACCAGGACAATACCTAAACCCGTCAACACTCGTATCCATCAACCCCACCGAAACCTAAACAAAAAACAAGGAATTACACAACCATGAAAATGAATCCCAAGCATCTAGACGAACCCCAACGAACCATTAACAAGCCGAGCCAGCCAAAACCCCCAATACATGAAACCCTAAATACTATCCATGCAAAACCTAAAATGAATCTATGAAATCTAACAGTCTTAGGTACGAATGAAGCAAGGGGAAGACGCATACCTTATCGGCGTAGTCCTTGTCTCGCTGCCGTCACCGTCGCACTGCTGTCAAAGCCGTCGTCGCAGCTGCCGAGACCGCCGTCCTTGCCGCTACAGTCAAAGTCAAAGTCGCCCTCGACAAGCACCAACGCAGTCATCGTCGTTTCCTCGCGCTACCGTCGCAGTCGTCGGCGATGTCATCACACACCAGATCGAGTGAGGAAATGGAGAGGGAGAGGGAGAGGGAAACAAACGCTTATTAGAGAGAGAAGGAAAAATATTGAATGGCGGAGAAAGAGCAGATGGAGAGGGTTTTGGGTATTAAAATTTTGAAAATTTTGAATTTGGAGGCCCGGCGGGCCCCATTTTCTTTCTAGTGAGCCTGACCCAGCCAATGGACTCGGCTCTTCTCCCTCACATACTGACGCGTTTTCTCCTCCACCGATAGATGGTGGCTTAGCGATGTGGAGGCCCATCCGGCCCTGTTAGTATCTACTAACAAAAAACCCTGTTAGAAGGATAGCTAAATTGATAAAATTGAGACCAAAAGTACAGGGCTCGGATAGAATAACAACACCCTTCCTGTTGTTATAGTAATAACAAGGGTAAAAGGGTAAACTGACAAAATATAACAAATATAATATGAAAATTGAAAAAGTGACGAAGAAAACTCTCCTCCCCATTCTCCGCTCAAATATCTCGACTCCGTCCATCCTTCGTCGGAGAGCTCTCTCCTTCAGAACAACCGTAGCAGTGACGCCGCAAAATTGAATTTATCGCCGTTCAAATCATCCTCCCGTCGGAGCTCTCTACCAGATCTCGTCTCTTTGCCACCTCGATTTCTGTGCCGGTCTTCTTCATCGATGGCAGATCGTGGCTGAGATGGCAGTGGTCTCTGTTCATCCTCGATTGGAGAATCCCTATTCTTCTGCATCTCTCATCTGCTGAACTCTTTCTTGCCGCCGCGGGCCTTTGAAGGCCGCTAGAGAGCCTGGTAGCACCGGAGGTTAATTCCTCCAACCCGCCTTCTTCGCAAGTAGAAACCATTCTGCAACCTTGCAACGATGACATCGATTACGGTCGCAAACCACAAAGTAGCGCCGCCAACAAACATTAGTGCCGGACGGAGACGGAACGGTGGTCGTCTGAGTCTCAATAAGGGCGTTCTGGAGGCGGCGGTGATAGTGATGGTGGCAATCAGCGACCATTAACCGGTAGATGGAAGAAGTAGCGGTTGTCGATGAATTGGAAGATTGAGTAGCATCAGCTGCTGACCTTCTCCTTCTCCCTCCCGATTCCCTTTCAATAATCTATCCTATGGGAAGCTTTCTTCTGGAAATCTGCTGTAGCTCTGAAGAGATTGGAAGGATGGAGAGACGGACATACTGAAAGTTGAGTATAGCTTAGCTCTCACGTGTTTGGCTGCTGAAAGGTTTGCTGCGGGAGGCCGCGACAGTTGATCGATGAGCATCTCACAGTTTCTTGATCTTATTAGTATCGCTGGGAAATGGTACTTGCAGTTCAATAATTTTGTACCCTTGCCGAATTCATCTACTTTTGTGTGATTGCATTGCCATTTCGGCTTGGTCAGTGGACTGATCTGTGGCTGCTGTTTCTGTTCCCATGTTGCTTTTGAGAGCAGGAGTTTCTAGCGAAAATGTTGATGATAAATGCTCTGTTGTGGTTTCAATTAATGGTGTATGTGCGAGAATGTGGTTTGATGTGGAATGTTTGGTTGGAGCTTTATGAATTTAGTTGCAACTTTGTCATTGTTAGCTTCTGGGAAGCATCGCCAATTGGCCAAGGAATAAAGAAACTCCAATCATTCATCTCATATAACCATTATAAAGCAAAACATAAATATTTCTAAAGTATACCCAAAATATGATTATGCAAACCGTAAATCCCCTAAAGCATATACAAAACACTGCTTTACATACCAAAAATATTTCTAAAGCACACCAAAAACCTCCTAATGCAAACTGCAAATCTCATAAACCACGCCAGAAAAATATTTCTAAAGCACACCAAAAACCTCTTAATGCAAACTGTAAATCTCATAAACTAGTAGAGATTTTCAACCTCATGTTGAAGGATGAAGTGGAACCTGATCGAATTACATACAACACGCTGCTTGCTGTATGTAGTAGAGGAGGTTTATGGGATGCATCGAGAAGTTTGTTCAGTGAAATGGAAAGCATAGGGATCCAACGGGATTTGCATACTTATAATACTGAGGTGAGAGAATTGCATTTTTTCCCCAGTTCGTTAGTTAATTGGATGGAAGTGTGGCAAATGCAAATTTTCTTGTATTTTTCCTAATGCAGATCGAGAAACCCAAAAAGCAAATCACAACTATTTCTAAAACACAACAGAAACCTCCTAATGCAGACCACAAACACGGTAAAACAATCCACAAAAAGCGTATCAGAAACCTCCCAATCCATACCACAAATCCCCTAAAACAACCACAAAGCATACCACAAAATTCCGAAAGCACAACAGAAACCTCATAATGCAAACCACAAACATGGTAAAGCAAACCACAAACCTCCTAATGCAGACCAAAAATATATTAAAACAAACCAGAAACCCCACAAATCAAACCATAAAATTTTTAAAAGCACACCATAAACTTCTTAATACAAACCAGAAACACAATAAAGCAAACCAGAAACCTCCGAATGCATACCACAAATCTCCTAAAACAAACCACAAACCTCACAAAGCAAACCACAACATTTGCGAAGCACACCAGAAACCTCCTAATGCAAACCACAAACACAGTAAATCAAACCACAAAAAAGCAAACCATAAAACTCCTAATGCAGACCACAAATATAATAAACAAACCAAAAACCCCTCAATGCAAACCACAAAATTTTTGAAAGCAAACCAGAAACTTCTCAATGCAAACCACAAACACGATAAAGCAAACCATAAATATGTTAATGCAAACCACAAACACGATAAAGCAAACCACAAAAGGCATACAAAAATATGAGAAACCAAACCATAAATCTCACAATGCATACCATAACATCCGGTGGTCGTTGACCGGTCAATGGAAAATCGTTAACTGGTCAACGAAGTTCGTTGACCAAACTCCGACGACCGTCAGTGAGTAGATTCCGGAGCCGATAGGCATATTCCGGCCCCGATGACTAGATTCCGATGCCGGTAAGCATATTCCGACCACGGTGAGCATATACCGGCGACAGTGACATATTCCGATGACAAAATAGCATATTCCTGCGACAGTGACATATTCCGATGACAAAATAGCATATTCCTGCGACAAAAAAACATATTCCGGTGACCGACGAACGATTTTCAACGACCAAAATTTTGGGCCGAAAATAAAAAAGTAATTTTTAATTTTTATTATTATTTAAATATATTTTTCATAATGACAATTATACCCCTGCTTTGATTTTACACTAGGTCAACTCATTTAATAAAAAGTCATCACAACCCTAGCTTCCTATTGGTTGGAGACTAGTGTTGTTACAAATTTAGGAGTGTTCAAACGGTTTGGTTACCATGGTAACCGTTTTAACCAGTACTATTTGGATAATTTGGTTTGGTTAATTTGGATAATTGGTTTGGTTTGGTTAAAGTTTTTAACTTGTTTGGTTTAGGTGATTTGGTTTGGTTTCAGACACTCCTAACCAGTCAAACAATATTAACCAGTTAAGTAATTAGTCATATATCTAACATATATTATATACACATACTTAATATTTTGCATAACCACTCAAGAGTTAACGTTCATCCCTTTTAGACTCATAAAATATAAAGCTCAATATTGCTCATATAGTGTATATTTGTATATGTAAAATGTAGACCACAACATATGGACGCCTAATTTAGATAAATTTCATACATTATGATGGATGAAAACTTGAAAGAAAGGTCATTTCCAGCCTATGATAATTCTAAAAGACTAAGTCAATTTACACAAACACAACAATTCATTAACCCATACCATTGTCATAAATTTTTGTTAGGTGAATACTTTTATACTAATCGTAAAATAATTGTCTTAGTTGCATGTATTTTTGTTAAGGGTCAACTATAACTACGTGTTGATTGTTATGTTTTATTCATTATCTAAATTGCGAATTGTTGCATTAACCGGAAAATTTTCATCGTCAATGATAATTTGATTTTATATTGGTTAATCTGGTTAACCAATTAACCAAACCGATTAAACTTTAGTTTGGTTAATTTGGTTGTTATATTAGTTTGGGCGGTTTGGTTATGATATTGTATTCCATGGTTAATGGAATTTAGCCTTATTTGGTTTGGTTATAACCATGGTAACCATTTGAACACTCCTTGTTACAATAACAACACAAGGGGTGTTGTCATAGTATCTAGTCCCAAAAGTACAAACTCCAAACCAGAAGGGATTAGGGATGGCAACAAAACCCGAACCCACGGGTACCCACCTGACCCAACCCGGTCAACACGGGTAAAATCCATGTTGACGGGTTTTGGGCCGGGTTTGGGTTTAAACCCGTTCACTATTCATCGGGTTGGGTTGGGTTTGGGTTTAGGTAAACCCGACCCATGGGTACCCGCCCGCACTCATATAATTAATTTTCTCGGTATAATTAATAGTCTAAACAACTAATCTTATTCATGTTTGTGGAGACATGTCTAATTTTTTCTTTCTAATTGTGTAGAATGAAGTTGATGTAATCTAGTGGAGAGTGAAAAAACTTAATTGAAAGGAAAAAGTTTTCAATTAATCATGTTATTTATGGATAATTTGTGATTTGCTTCAATTTTCTTGAGTTTTCTAGATTGGTGTTGAACAATTTGTATAGTTAATTTGTGATTTGCTTGAATTTTCTAGAATAGTGTTTTAAATATGGATAATTTGTATTGAGAGATTGATATTTGACTTTAATTTTGTTAGGAACTTGTTATTGTAAATTTTTTACGACAAAAACCCGTGGGTACCCATGAACCCGCGAATACCCAGCGGGTTGGGTTGCGTTTGAGTTTTTCAAACCCAATGTATTTTACCCCGGGTTTTTTTCACGAATAAACCCATGGGTTTGGGTTTGGGTTTGGCACAACCCGACCCATTGCCATCCCTAGAAGGTATCGAGGTGAGGCAACCAGAAGACTTGAGGTACGGAAGCCATAAAACGACAAAGTAGGTCAAAACGCACTGTCGTTTAGGCGGCGAGCTGACAGAGAAAAAAGAAACACCCTGGTATCTACCGGTGCTGGTTCAGATCGGAAGAAAGAACGGTAAAAGAAAAGGAAGAAAGAGAAGAAAAAGAGAGGAAACGGATCGGGAGAGCGGTGGGGCGATCAAGCTCTCGAGGATGGAGCAGAGGGCTGGCGGGCTTGTCCACTGACAAAGAAGGCCGCAAGCGAAATCAACATTCAATAGCTCTTCCATTCAAAGTTTCGGGGATCACTACGCACTCTTAGACCCCTTCCTCGCTTCAGGGAAGTAAGCAGTCGGAGTCGGCGCCGGCGACCTGAATTCCGGAGTCGTCAGAGTAAGTGTAGAAAAGAAAGAGGCTTATGTGATCTCCAGTTTTTTACATCAAGAATTGGCATTCTCAGCTCCGAACGTTTGAAAATGGACAAGTCTAGTGCGTTGGAGTACATAAACCAGATGTTCCCCACAGGTTCGTTTCCGTTTCTCTCACTCTCTATTTGTTTATATACGTTGGAGAATAGATTAGTGGCAGTTTAGATTATCTCTGTGCAATCTGTATTCAGTGAGTAGTCTTCTCATCATGCTTCCGATAGTACTTTAGTTGGAGTCTGGTTAGTAGACGGTTCAATGTTCCGGGGTTCAAATTTGTGCTTAAAATTGGTAAGCTGAATCTCGAAAGGTCACGATCAGTGAAATTGTGTTTGTGGAACTCAACAGATGTGCGTATTTAGGTAAAAGTATATGCTGCATTTTATCTTCATGCTACTGTTGTGCTGGGGAAGGGGAACCAAGTTATTTGGGGTTGAGGAATGGAGGGTTTGATTCAGTTAGATGTTAGTCAACACTGACTGTAGTGTCTCAGGTTTTCGACTAAAGATTACTGATGCTGCTGCTATCTTATGTTGGATTGGTTACACTGAGGAGATGTGGCATTTCAATCAATTGAGGGAGCTGTGCTAATCTAAGCTGAAATAGATATTAGAAAATGGCTTCAGGAACTTAAATAGATATGTTCGTACATCAAGTGATAGTTAGGGCAAGGGATCAGAATGAAACGGTGTCAAATATGTTGTTTTGCTTCCTGTCTGATGTTCTTGGATCAGAGACTTGATCCAGTTAGAAAATCTGATGAATGGTATTTTGCATTATCAATACCTCATGGCAAGTTGAATCAATGACTTTAACGACTGTAGTGACGATTAACTGAATTATGAATACTTCCAGAGGCATCTTTATCTGGGGTTGAGCCTCTTATGCAAAAGATTCACAGTGAGATACGCCGAGTGGATGCTGGGATACTTGCAGCTGTTCGTCAACAGGTTACAGTCCTGCTCTTGTTTCCTGTTATGTTTTGCATAAGCATATTAACATTATTTGCCTCGTCCATTGCATGATTTTTTTTACTTGGTACAGTATGAAGCAGTTGTTGCATCCTTGGATCAATTTTCTTTGTTGTCATGAAAGATTTTGGAGGCAGTGGGTGTGGGAATTGAAGTTTCAGAGCCTGTGCGTTAGGAATCCTGCCATTGAAATTAGAAGAACCTTTTTTTTTAAAGCTGTATTAAAAGAATCAGATGTTGATAGCCAATAAGCAACGACAGGTCAACAACCTCTTACTGAGTATCAGTTACTGGATGCTTACCCAGTAAACCATCTTACCATAGCTCTAACATATTTGACAAAATTAGTAATGAAAGTGGGTCCCTCTATAGATTATGATTATAACTATTAACCTAGCCTGTAGCCATTTGGAGATGGATCTGTGCTTTCTGGCCTGTTCAACTAGAGGTTTTGTTTGCGCAGAGGCGTTAGAAAGACTTCTATTACTTATACCTTTTTGACGATGTCGATTGGTTTCAGAGCAATTCCAGAACCAAAGCCAAGGAAGATCTTGCTGCTGCTACACGGGCTGTGGAGGTGAGTATGTGACAAAGTTTAGTTTAGCATCAGAGGATGGTGTATCTTAGTTAGGAGTTTTAGTTCTATTTCCTCGGCCTCTGAAAGAGCAGTTAAGTCTAGTCTTTTATGCGAGCCATTGTGTCTTTTCTGCATATTTATTTTTGTTCTTTCATCTCAGGAACTCATGTTCAAGATTCGAGAAATAAAGACAAAAGCTGAGCAGAGCGAAACAATGGTCCAGGAAATATGCCGTGACATTAAGAAGTTGGACTTTGCAAAGAAGCACATAACGACCACAATAACTGCACTTCACCGTCTTACTATGCTAGGTTAGTGTTTCCGATGTAACATTCAGTCAGTTATGTGTATACAATTTTATGATTTAAGGTTTACTGTGTTCATTACCTTAATTTACTGTCTTCATTACCTGTACGGAGCATGACTATCATTTCAAGTAGAAGCACATAAGACACTGATTATTATGCATTTTAAAGGTTCATATGTAGTTTTAATATTTCTGGCACTTGATGAGCTGTTACCATATTTGGACCTTATGTCTGAGTCTTAAACAATAAAGGCGCATTATTTAGAATCTAATCCAAATTGTACTAGACTCGGACCCTGGATGACTTAGGCGTGGATGTTTATTCCTTGCACTTCCAATCCTCTTTTCTTGATTGAAAAGTAAATAAAATTTTCATTTAAATTTCACTTTCAATCTTTAACAGGATGTTTAGGAGATTTTTCTTGATCAATTAGGACCATTATGCAAGCTACGATTACCTGAATAATCATAATCTACAGGGCCTTTGGGCCTAAAGTGGTGCATTTTCATGTTGCCATCAAGGGGTAAACACATTAGTGAGATCCATGAGAACCAACAAGCTATATGCTATATAACAGATAGCGATAACATGTATGGTAATAGGTCCTTCAAGTAGCATAGTAAATTAAAAGACGATCCTGTCAGTGCTTGCTAACTTTATTTAAGAAATCCATACTTCGATATCAACTAAAACATTTCCTGTTAAAGTATCACAAATCTCAATTCCCATTCCCAATCATAGTTGGTGCTCCTCTATTTTCTTATTTATATTCTTTCTGCATAAGTTGCCCCCAGTTTGGTTCGAACATAAGTTATCCTTTCCATTGTCTTCAATACCCTTTGGAACTTGCACTGCTTTGGTAGTTTAAACGAATGATGGGTGACTTACACATTTCAATACTCTAGCATTCTCCTTTTTTCCTATGCAGTGTCTGCAGTCGAGCAGTTGCAAGTAATGGCTTCGAAACGAAATTACAAAGAAGCAGCTGCCCAGCTGGAGGTATGTATCATTGTATATATAACTTAAGAGAGCTTCGCGAGTAGTACATTTGTGCTATTTCCAATCATTTTCCATCAGTACTCCTGTTTTGTCTATTCTCTTAAAATGATACCTCCAGTGCCATAGGTCCCAGCGGGATACAATATGCTGCCATTGTATATTTTGCTATCTTGGTGGTGCTCATTGTCTAGAATTGAAGGAAGATCATTTGTTATGATAACTACTCCATGTTCGTCTCATTACTATTAAGGGTTAATGAATAGTCTTATCCTCAAAGAATTTTTCTTGGAGAACTACTCAATTTTCTGTCATACTAACAATTTTGGGGCGGCGGTTTTGTTGATGAATTTCAGGCTGTAAATCAGTTGTGTAGTCACTTTGAAGCCTACAGGGACATACCAAAGATCACAGAGCTCAGGGAGAAGTTCAAAAATATCAAACAAATTCTCAAATCTCACGTATTTTCTGATTTCTCAAGGTATGGATTCCTGAGGATGATCCATGATATTCTTTGGCTATTTAAATTCAGCAAATGTGTGTCTGCTTCTACATGCCCTTTCGTCTGTACGATATTTATACACGTTCTTTATTGGCATGGATTTGTTGGAGATGTAGTGCCTAATGTGGCAAGTAACGTATAAGGACAGTGTAGCTGACTTCATATCATTAAGGAAATGTGCATGCTCACTTTTTTCATATTTATAGATGTTGCCTAGCATACATGCTTGGCTTTCATGTAGATGAGTTCATGATTTTATGGAGATGAGTAACATACAAGGAATGATCGGAGTAGTTGACTTCAAATGGTTGAGAAAACATGCATGCTATTTTTTCACATTCTTTAGATCTTGCATGAACTCTCGAAGTGTTCCATCTTTACAATGTAGTTTGTTAATCCGTATGGCAACAAGATGAAGCTTTCACAGGACAGAACACCAATTAAATTGGTATTTAGAGTTCCATAATCTGTCAGGTTGAGACGCCACTTTACTCTTACATTTGTATGAGGATTCATTGAAGGAATTAGACAAGTGTACTATTCCACATTTAATAGCTTGAATGTGAAACTGCTGTACTCATTAACTTTTCCAATAATGTATGAAATCTGTATGAATTAGAATTTATAACAGAGATTCTTCTCTATGCTTTTTAGATTTATTCAATTGAAATTCTTTTCCATTATTTTTATTCACAGCCTGGGCACCGGGAAAGAGACGGAAGAAACAAATTTGCTGCAGCAGTTATCTGAAGCATGCTTGGTGGTTGATGCTTTGGAGCCATCTGTGAGAGAAGAGTTGGTTAATAATTTCTGTAGCAGGGAGCTTACTTCATATGAGCAGATCTTTGAAGGAGCTGGTTCGTACTATCTTTGATCTAGCTTATGTGATTTATACCTTATGTGTATAGGTATTTATCAGACTTCAGTTTATTTCTTTTTTTGAAGTTTTTTTTTTCTTTATGACCAGAATTGGCTAAGCTGGATAAAACTGAACGGCGGTATGCATGGATTAAGCGCCGGATAAGAACAAATGAGGAGATATGGAAGATTTTCCCTCTTTCATGGCATGTTCCCTATCGTCTGTGTATCCAGTTCTGTAAGAAGACAAGGTATGTAATTTGGTGAAAAAACAGAAGTTCCATAGTTATCAATGGAAAGGGGCTACTTATTTGATTATGAGTTTTTATCTGATTATAATACAAGTACAAAAGAACGTCATCAATATGGTTGATTTGAGTTATTATTTGAGTTAAGCTACCTTCATTTGATTATGACTGCATTGTGTTTGGTAGGCGCTAGGTATCTCTAGTCTTTGTAATCAAGCTACTAGTTTGTATGGGCATGTTGTTGGAAAAACATAACGGAAGTCCAGTATTGATTTGGATATGGCATCCTTATGTGCAGAATTACAAGTGCAATGTTACTTCTTTTAAATATACAACTCTTGACTCTTGCTTTTAAATAGCAGATGTTGCATCATGCAAGTTAATTTAGGTTTCCATCTTCTATTTCCGTGTACAATTACCTTAGAAGTCTGGGACCATGCTTCTATGTAGAGCATGGGAAACGGATTGTCTAGGTGAGGGAAGGAGACTTGATATAGCAAATTTTCCACCATCGTGCGATAATTTTATATGGAATACTCAGGAGAAGGAGATGATTAGAAGGCCTTTATCATGCCTGTAAAGAAAACTATTTGGCATTTGTGTTGCTTCAAATATCTAAACAAAGTAAAAGATGTTGAAGTGATTGTGTTAATTATGAGATTCATTTCATGTTTTCTGATTTCAGGAAACAACTAGAGGGAATACTTGAAAATCTCAAGGATAAGCCGGATGTTGGAGCTCTCCTACTGGTATTTTTTTTATAGACATTCCCGCGATAAAAATATCTTCTTTTTTTGAGATACCATGATATGAATGTCATTAAGGCAAAAGGATTAAGATAAGTTTCGTCTCATTATCATGGTTAAATTGTTTGATTTCAGTACTGTGTTCACTAAATGTGCTCTTGTTTGAATTTGATAGGCTCTGCAACGAACTTTAGAATTTGAGGATGAATTGGCTGAGAAATTCGGAGGTGGTTCTCAAAAGGAGTTTGGAAATGAGATAGAAGAGATAGGTAGAGAAAATCACAATCAAAGTGTTTCAGATATTCGGAAAAAGTATGAAAGAAAGCTGGCTGTACATCAGGAAGATGAAGGCCAAGTATGTATTATTCATTTTGTGAATGATATTCTCTCTTAAATTGTATCTGTATCAAGTGAACTACTTTCTGACCATAATAATGCGTTGTCAGGAAAAAGATGGAAATAAAGATTTGTCAGCACCCGGTGCCGGGGTACGTAGTTGCCTTTGCATCTGAGTTTATTCTGTTTGTTTCCTTGTTTTCTTGAGTATGCCACTGGGCATTCACATAATTTTGACAAAGTTGAATGCATTGTGGTTAAATAGGAAATTTGAAATTAGAATTCGTGCACATGCGAATGTTATAGACTTAGCTGATTGATATGAAGAAAGAGTACTCATTTTAACTAGCATTTAAAATGGTCAGCATCAACTTAAACTTTCATCTCCGTGATATGAATTCTTCAGGCTTTCAGTTTTGAGATTGCTAAGTAATTGGAATAATTTGAACTTTTTCATTTTGCAGTTTAATTTCCGTGGAATCATCTCATCTTGCTTTGAACCCCATCTAACTAGCTATGTGGAGCTAGAGCAGAAGACACTGATGGAGAATCTAGAAAAACTTGTTCAGGTAGTGTGAGAATACAGGTTGTAACACCTCCATTTTCCTGTGACCATTATGCATACTTTCTTCAAACTTTATTGTCTCCTTTACAGGAAGAAAAGTGGGATATTGAAGAGGGCAGTCAGAATAATGTTTTATCTAGTAGCATGCAGGTAAGAAATTGATGCTCGTTTCTTTTGCATGATCATTTTGAGTTCTGAATGTATCTCAATCTCATACATTGTAAGACCATGTTCCTATTGTGGACAAACAACTATTCTCATATGTATCATACTAAAAGAGCGTACTTTTGAAAATAAACTTGGGCTCTTGTCCATTGAAATTGAAAGGCTCGGAAGAAAAATAAAAGCAGCTGTCTAATCATTCTAATTGCTAATTGGATTTCCTGGAAACTTCTGATGTGAATTATCACTGAAGCGAAGTTATTGCATGCAAGTATGTACATGTTTTTCCTGTCTAGTCTCCATCAGGCATCAAATATATTTGAGGATGTTGACTATGCCTGATATAAATTGTATTTGCTTGAATCGAGGCACTTAAATTCAAATGATTAAGATCTTAACATATTTTTCTGGTATAATATCTCCAAGAATTTAGGGCTTAGGGAACTATATTGAAATGAAACAGGAGTTTGAAGTATTCTTCTTGTAAATGTTTACGACAGTTGTAGGCAATATTCCAATATTATTCTTAGTTGACATACCTGTGCTTTCTCCTTGCATTTGATATTCCCATTTCCCTCAAGAATATGTATTGATGTTCCCGCCAAAATAGGTTTTTGTTTTGTGTTTTTGCTTTTATTTGGTCATGAAGTTGGGGCGAAGAGAAGCTATTTGTTTTGTGGATCATACAATTTTGCATCACAGCAGTGCATTGAGATGCTATTTCATGAGAATGATAAAATGCTGTTTGTTTTTCAGTTGTTTCTCATCATCAAGAGGAGCTTAAAACGTTGCAGTGCTCTAACAAAGAGCCAGACATTACTCAATCTATTCAGGGTATTTCTTGAGTTCATCATCTACTGTGCATTTATTTTAAGTCACTGCAGATCAATAATCTAAAATTAAATTGTAACAATTAATGCTGATCTGCATTAGATACATAAGGCGTCCATTCAAGATATTATCAAATGAACCAATAAGTTATCGGAGAATAGTTTCCATTTATTGGATTTGGCCGACTATTTCCTGCATAAGCTTAGTTTTCTTTTAGCAAAGGTAAAATGCTTCTCTTAAAATGTGAGGTTTGCACATTAATTACTGATCTCATCAGTAACAAATTTGTTGATGTCCATCTTTATAGTTCGAATACAGTTTTGGATCTCCCTTTGGCTCATGCCACATAGGAAGTGAAAAGATAGAACTGAAAGTAGTTCTTTTTCCCCATCTGGTCATTCCTCCTATAAACTGAACAAAACTCCTCCCGGGACCAACATTCACCTATCGCGAAGACTGAGCAGAAAAGCTGGTAATTCCATACTGTTGTTAGGATGCTCCTTGAGGAGCTAATTGAACCATTATAGGGAAAGAGGTGATTCTAATTGAATTATATTTGGAAATCAAAAGATATCTTATGGGACCCTGAGGCAGATAAGCTTGTGCACTTGTGCGGGTGAGATAACAATTTGTGAACCTTTAATTTTGCTCCACTTACAGGTATTTGAAAAAATTCTAAAAGCTTATGCTTCAAAGCTCAAGGCAAGATTGCCCAAGGGTGGTGTGGGAATTGTTGCAGCAGCTACTGGTATGGATGGACAAATAAAGGTATTACTAATGGTTTCATGGCCTCATTGAATAAGGGTCGTCAGTAATCTGTTACGTGGATTCTCTAATGCCATTGAATTTTGAGCAGACGTCCGATAGAGATGAGCGGGTGATTTGCTATATCGTCAATTCAGCCGAATACTGCAGAAAAACTGTGAGTTCATCTTTTTGTTTATATTTATTTGTTCAATGTTTCTTGTTTCTTTCACCTAGCCAGTAGAAAGTATCTCTAAAATGGGTGGAAATGAATGTTCTCTATAAGATGATTAAAAAAAAATGGTCTTTCCATTTGCGCAAGCCAACAGTTTCCTGTGGAGTATCCCATCTTTTTGCCCAGCACCCCCGCCATTCAGAAAATTTTCAAGAACCGGAAATTTAGCTTTATAACCGAACCAACTGTATCTATCCATTAATAGATATTGCATAGGCTGAGGCGTTCAGTATAACCTTTCCTTGTTTGCACGATTATGAAAGTGACCTAAGGGTTTTCGGGTTGAAACAATGAACTGGTGCTTTGGCTTTAGGTTCAGAAGCAACCTATGTGGTTTTCTGTTACATAAGTGGGGTTAGAGAGTTCAAAGTGGAACTTAGGATATACCCTTCCTGGGACATGTTCTATAATTCATAAAATCTCCGCTGGATCCTATTTCCAAATTGCAGCTTTCCTGAAAACTTTTTCTTGAAGCGGGTTCCCATCATCATGGCTTACTTATCACCAATGATTGAGTAAAGGTGGCTCATAATTTTCTTGCTAGCTGTTTGTTGATTTAGGAAATGAAACCGAGAATGAAGTGTTGGTACCTGGTCTAACTCTTTGGAACAGTCAGGTGAACTGGCTGAAAGCGTGTCGCGAATAATCGATCCTCAACTTGCAGCTGGAGCAGATATGTCGTCAGCAGAAGAAGAGTTTTCTGGGCTTATAACAGAGGCATTGATGACCTTGGTGCATGGCCTAGAAACCAAGTTTGATATTGAAATGGCAGCCATGACACGTGTTCCCTGGGCTACACTTGAAAGTGTTGGCGATCAATCTGCGTAAGAAGCATCATAAGAAATTTTCAATTGCCAGCACTTGTGTATATCACAGGATCCACATAAAATTAGTGATTTGTCATCGCAGGTATGTCAATGGTATAAATATGATCCTTACCAGCAGCACTCCTGTACTGGGGAGCCTCCTAGCACCAGTTCACTTCCAGTACTTCTTGGACAAGGTGGGTACAAAACTTAGTTGCTACCAAATATGTTCTTTCCCGTACCCCCATCTCATAGAAAGTATAACAAAATTATTGAAAGAAATAGAAAATAAGAGAATGGAATGGAGTGAGACAAAAGGAGAAGAAAGTTAAATTGAGATGGTAGATATGTTACAAGTAGTTAGATGAGTGTCTAGGCGCCATTTGATGTGCATTGTCATAGGCAGAGGAAGCTTGCTAGTTAAGCAGTTAATCCATAGGCTTTGTAGCTTTCTGTGCACTATCCTCCTCTTCTCATTCAGATGAAAGGCATTCAAGTCCCTGCCAAACGTAAAAAGTTCTCTGTTGGCAAATGTGACATACTATTTGTCACCTTCGGTGTACTTAGACTTCAATAACAATAACATTGTGAAGGGAAAATGTTAATTTTTCTCACAAACTTGTTGATTTAAAATCAGTACAAATTCAACAGTCCTTGACTTAACTATTTCTCTGCAGCTTGCATCCTCTCTTGGTCCCCGCTTCTACACCAACATTTTCAAATGCAAACAAATATCTGAAACTGGAGCACAACAGGTATGAACAGTTCTTCATTTTCTTGTTTCCCAATTGATTGTCTAACATTGAAATGAATTTAAAGGCACTTACTATGTGTTTTCTTAGGAAGATTTTCTTTGCCTCTCCATTTTTGGCAAGGAATGGATTTACTGAAGTCCCTTTAAGGAAGGAACTAGTTGGAATGAATTCTTTTTTATTTTATTTTTTTTGGTAGGAGGAATGAATTCTCTTAATAACATATCTTTGCTATTTCCTGCTGTGATTCTGTTCCTTAAAACAGGATTAATGCAAAGACACACTTTCTTTTATTAACGGAACTGCATAGAATAAAGCATGCTAAAGCCAGAGGGCAGAAGAACTAATTGCTGCATTCCATGACAAGGAATGATTTTTTTTTTTTTTTGGGTTCTTATTGTCCGGAGTCAGAAACTTGTAATTCCATCCATTGATGAAACTTGACCTCCGCATATGGTTGGGGAGACACAGCACCTATAAACTAGACCTTTTATTTTGTGAAACCATCTAAGATGATTGTTTCAGCTAAAAAAACTCTGTGATGTTACTTGCAGATGCTTTTAGATACTCAAGCCGTGAAGACAATTCTTCTGGAGATTCCAATGCTTGGTCAACAGGTGAATCAGTATTGTCCAATCAAATTATTTACTTATGCACCATAGATTTAAGTCTAAGGACAGTGCTTTTGATCAGAACAAGTTGATCTCATTTGAGCTCCCTTTTAAAAAATTCAACTACCAACTGATAGTAAGAAATTCATCCAAGGATGCTTGATTGTAGTAAAATTTATCTAGTAAAGTAACTAATCAGCACGAATTTAATTCCACCTCAATTTACTATGTGATTGAAGCTTTGAAGCAAACAGAGAAGAACCATAAAAAATACTGAATGATTTGATTGCACATTGGAGCAGGGCGTTTAATTCGTTACCAGTTTATATTATAGGCTTTGTTTTCATTATTCTACTTTTATTGAATGGATAGTATCTCTTCCTAAACAAGTGAGAGTTGAATAACAGTTTTAATTTGATTTGGCACAGATGTCTAGTGCTGCTAGCTATTCAAAGTTTGTGAGCCGGGAAATGAGTAAAGCTGAAGCACTTTTGAAGGTATATGATAAAGGAGTAAATGCTTGATTTCTGTTTCTTGCCTCACTGCATGCTTTCCTAATCAAGAATGAATTACAGGTTATACTATCGCCAGTGGATTCTGTGGCTGATACGTATCGAGCATTATTACCAGATGGAACACCAATGGAGTTCCAGCGGATTTTGGAGCTCAAGGCAATTTCCTATATCCTTATTGCTTTTGCCAAATCAAATTTTTACACATTGCTTTTGAATGGTTAATGACTTGGCCTCTTTGAACATCTTGCCCTGCTAAAAATGACAGCCCTAAACCACTTTTCTTGATACAAATGCTCCTATACACACTTTCTGGTCGAATTCATCTGATTTGACCTAAGCCATACAAACATCGATCTCTTATCAATCTTCTGCTAAGCCGCAGAGTTGTGTTTCTGATTTTGATTCTTTATACACTGACAAACGTTTTAATGATGTCTCTTACCTTGCATTTGCATCTGGGGAAATTGTTACAGGGTCTTAAAAAGGCGGATCAGCAAACTATATTGGACGACTTCAACAAGCAAAGTCCACCACTTTCTCAACCTTCAGCTCTGCCATCAGCAGCATCAGCTGTTACGACTCCTGCTCCCACCAGCGCCACTGCTGCTGCTATGGCTGCGGCAACTTCTCTGGTTTCTCATCCGTCACTTGGCCTCACTGCTTCTTCCAGGGAAGACGTGCTTGCCAGGGCAGCCGCCCTTGGCCGGGGTGCTGCCACAACAGGTTTCAAGAGGTTTCTGGCTCTAACTGAAGCTGCAAAAGACCGAAAAGACGGACCTTTCAGAAAGCTTTTCAATGCTTAAAAGAGTCATTTTTATACAAATTTTTGTTTCTGTTTTCAGTTGTACTATAAATACGTTCTACTTACGGACCATTAGCTGGAGTGTGTAGAAGGATATTAATATTTGTGCACAGAGATGGCAAAGGCAGGTGTTCCTACCGAGATGCCTTGGTTTTGCTGTTTTGACCGGATGGAAGGGGTCGATTAGCTTGCTAACCCCTCTAAGGAGTTGGAAAAATGATATCATATTAATTATAGTTATTTTTTGTATTAAATTCGTGTTGCACTTAATAATTTTGTGAATTAAAAATTCATATTAATTACATGTTTTTAACTACCATTGCACTGTTTTTTTTTTATATATAAAAGGGAGGCACAAGGCCAAAGATTACAAGAGCAAAAAGATCAGGTCACTTATAAAGCTCCTGTCCACACAAAGGAAACAACAGACCATACCAGAAGACGAACCAAGGAAGCAACAGCTTCAAAACTCTATCTAATCACATCATTCCCCTCAGCAAAAAGCCATTGCTCTAATTCTGATGAACTTGTCTCGGGAAGCTAACCCCTACAATGTCTTCTGTGCAAATCCTGTCCAGTTCCAATGGGGGTTCTCAAGTTCTTACGTACCAAAGGGATAGACGAGACTGTGCTTCGAGAGCCAGTCCGCGACTCTATTCCCTTCGCGGTACGTGTGAACCAGTCGAACTACCCATTCTTTCGCCAACAACCGTCGAATTGCTCCTAGAATGGTAGCATGAGGATGGACACTGTCTCTTCTATTTTCAATAATCTGTAACGCCAGTTGAGAATCCGATTCCAAGATGAGGAATTGAATTCCTTTCCTCCAAGCCAAATCCAGACCCTGCAGTATTCCCCATAGTTCTGCCAACAAGGCAGTACCAGTCCCTATCTTACTGCAGAAGCCCCCAACTCAGTCCCCATTGTGATTTCGCAAGACTCCTCCTGCAGTGATTATTCCTGGGTTACTCTGTGCTGCACCATCTGTATTCAGTTTGTACCATCCTGTTGGTGGAGATGTCCATCCAATCATGGTTTCCACCCTCTCTCGCTTCTCGCCAATAACAAGGGAAAGCTTGGCTGAGTCCCAAATCTTCACCCACTCTATAGCTTTTGCTGTTATGTAGTGCTGCCGGGTGGAATTAGCAAGCTTGATTCCTTTGAAGACCTCATCATTTCTGCATTTTCAGACATACCACAGGATCAGACTAAAGAAGTCCGCCCATTGCCCTGGCCAAGTTCCATGTGAATCGTCCATCAGATTAGCCTTGAGCCAATCATCATAATTGGAGTTGAAAAAGGCAAACTCCCTCTGGCCATCCACAATCTTAGTCCATACTGTTTTTGCTTTCCTGCAGTCTCTTAAGCAGTGCACATTTGTCTCAGGAATTCCCCTGCATTCAATACACGAGTCATCTTGAGTAAGGTGTCTGTGTTTTCTGATGCTGTTCGTCGTCAGTTTCCCTTGCACAGCCATCCAGATAAATACTCTCACCCTCTCCGACACCTGAAGCTTCCAAATACGTTTCCAGTAGTGTTGGTTCACTTCAGGATTCTGATGTTGGAGGGCTTTGAAAGTCGAACTAGCTGAAAAACTCCCGTTGGCTGTTAGGCTCCAGAAAGGTCGATCCTCTTCTGCTGCCAAGGGGTCAACGATAGCTGCTCGTATCTGATCAACCACGTGTTGATGTAGCAGACTTTGAAATTCATCCAGTCGCCATCCACTATCAGGTTCCCACAAGTCGGCCAGTAGCTGTTCCTTCTTCTCCTCTGGAATTTCTTCTGAAGCCATGTCAATCAAAGGTACCTGCATAATCCATGGATCAGGCCAAAAATGAGTGTGTTTACCATTCTTAACATTAATGGCATAACCTTTCTTAAGCACCTTGGCAATCGAGGTAAAGCTTCTCCAAGCGAGAGAACTTCCCTTAATCTTCTTTAGCACCTCTAGCCCTTCTCTGTGGCATCCATACTTTTCCAACAGCAGCCTTGTCCAAAGCGAATCCTCTTTAGTAACTAGCTTCTAGCCTCCTTTAGCCAACATAGCCTGGTTTGCTAGCTTGGTTGGTCGGATACCGGCCCCTCCTTGGCTTTTTGGTAGAGTCATTTGCTCCCAAGCAATGGGATGGAAGCTGGTTTTCCCCTCCTCTTCTCCCCATATGAATTGTTTATTGACCTTGTCTAATGAACTGCAGACAGAAGCTGGAAGTAACTCTGAAAATATCGGATACACAGCCATGGATGTAGAGATAGATCTCACCATGGTCATCCTGGCAGCCAGTGAAAGATATATTGTTTTCCATGATGAGAGTTTCTTTTGAATACTGATAAGCCCACGAATCAATGAACTCAGCCCAACCGACGTTCAGCTTGTGAGCCCCCAGTCCAATTCGCGCTAACGGGATTTCGTGTAGCCCAACCATTGTCCAAGCTTACCATTGCCAGGACAGGAGTAGTCTTTGGGTTTTGTTTTAGGTTGAAAGGGTATTCCCTACTGATTAGGAGTAGTAGTTGCTGGTTGTTTTGGTTGGAATAAAGTCCCTCCACCTTAAGTGGAGAAAGAGTAGGCAGTAGGTAGTCGTGGAAGCATAGCTCCCACCTTGTTAGGATTTTTAGTTTCAACGATGATGTATTTAAACTAGAAGCAAAGAAATAACAAGGGAGCAGAATTTTAGTAAGTAAAACCTCTGGTAATTTCTCGCCAAGAAAAAAGAGAACTGGCTCAATCCCGCCAAGAAAAGGGATTCATTCACTCATACGATTTCAACATGTATCATTTGGTACCAGAGCCGTTGATCCGGATTCCGATCACGATGAGCTCAAAGAGACCCTCAAGGGAGGAGGAACTCATCAATCAGGCACTCAGGCAAATAGAGCGTGTAATGGCTACCTGCCGCACGATGATTGCGTCGTATGACAAACGCATGTCAGGAACACTACCATCGCAATCGGAAATCGAGACCCTAGCCGCTATGGAAGAGGCGGAGATCTCCGTCCTACCCGTAGCAACGCTACAGGTACCTGCTGCAGCTAATAGCACGTTATCGACGATCATGGCGCCTCCATCGGCTGCCTTGCCGACCTTGTCAGCAAATCCACAACAGCCTCTTGTCAATGCTGTCAAGCATTATACGCCGCCAAAAATCGAGTCCAAGCCACGCTTCCCATCGACGACGAACCCGACCGCTCACATGGGTGATCCTGTTGCCGCCGTTTATATGGGTAAGTTTGCGATTCTTGCACCAACTTCTGCAAACAAGGACAATTTAAAGGCCATTGCAATCACTACCATCGCTGCCGTCGATCCGCGAGAAGCAAAGTCTTTCGTGGCCCAGGCCGCAACGCCTTCACCTGGAAGGATCCTGACCTCCGCCACATCCACTACATCAACGCCGGACCAGGGAGGTAACTTCCGTGATTTATTGATCGCTGAAGATCAAGGTGGGACACCTCATGGAGAGGTTGATTTAATTGCCAAGGTGTCATCCAACCAAATTAGTCTGTATAGATCCCGATGGAAGGGGATTTAAGTCCACAACTCTTTATGAAAGTCTCTTTGTTAGGGATGTTCGTCAATTGTTGATGTGCGATGATGGGGATGGAAAATGTGGGGAAAGAGTTATATGCAAGATAGGCTTATTTGTAAGGCTTGCGCATAAAAAGCATATCAACTATGAAGCATCAGTAGGATTTTATGGTGTTGATGCTAAATTTCTCTACTGGTGGAAGAGAAGGAAGAAGCTGGACAAGAATCCAATTTAAAAAGGAAAGCTACAGCCCCAGGGGAAGAAAGAAGCAATGGCTTGCGCTCTTGATTGTTGCTACCTTGACAAAGACTTTGGGGACAAGACTTGTAAGCGCAAGCGCGATGCCGAAGTTATCGTCACCGCCAACAATGACGACAACGAATCGATGGTGATCGAATCTTCCTTGCCCCCACCGGCAAAGTAGTCGAAACTTCCCTCTATCATCAATCTCAACACACCGACCTTCATAATCACAATCTACGGCGGGGTGATCCCGAGGTGGGTCTCAGGAAGGAGCTGGAAACGTTTCAGGAAGCACAGATTGTGGGCAAAGGTTGAGAGTAGGCAAGCGGCGTCGTGTGAGGAGCCGATGAACGAGGTGAAACGGAGTGAACAAGCTGAAGTGGGTGATGAGCGGACCGATTCAGCTATCTGGGTTGACTTATGGATCAAACCAACTGACTGGTACGGATCGCCGATGGAAACATGTCAAGGGAGTTCGCTTCGCGTGGATGATGCTACCTGTAAGTTGTCTTCCATTTTCGATGATCGCTTCATTCAATTCGGCCTTGAGGACAAGGCCGTTTTTCAGGGGGTGGTAATGATAAGCCCACGAATCAATGAACTCAGCCTAACCGACGTTCAGCTTGTGAGCCCCAGTCCAATTCGCGCTAACGGGATTTCGTGTAGCCCAACCATTGTCCAAGCTTACCGTTGCCAGGACAGGAGTAGTCTTTGGGTTTTGTTTTAGGTTGAAAGGGTATTCCCTACTGATTAGGAGTAGTAGTTGCTGGTTGTTTTGGTTGGAATAAAGTCTCTCCACCTTAAGTGGAGAAAGAGTAGGCAGTAGGTAGTCGTGGAAGCATAGCTCACACCTTGTTAGGATTTTTAGTTTCGACGATGATGTATTTAAACTAGAAGCAAAGAAATAACAAGGGAGCAGAATTTTAGTAAGTAAAACCTCTGGTAATTTCTCGCCAAGAAAAGAGAGAACTGGCTCAATCCCGCCAAGAAAAGGGATTCATTCACTCATACGATTTCAACACGTATCAAATACGCAGGACAAGCTCCTTATATCTGGCTTTAGTGACTCTTCCATGAATGGCATTAAGCCCCAAGTATCTCCCGAGGTCTGACGTCAGCGTAATATTGGCTTTGTTGCTCAACCTCTGTGCCCTGTCACGAGAAACATTAGGCGAAACAAAAATAACAGACTTGTTAAGATTAACCTTTTGTCCTGAACTCGCACAGAACTCTTCTAGGCATTGCCTAATAACCTCTATTTGCTTAAACTACCATTGCACTGATACAACTATCATTGCACCTGCATAGTGAATGTATATTAATTACATTCCTTTTTTTGAAAGTAATTAATATGAGTTTTTAATTTAGACAGATTATTAAATGTAACTCAAATTAATTATCTTAGAAATCTATAATTAATAGGATGTCATTTTTCCAACCCCTCCAGGTAGGATCCGGTGATTAAGCCTATAGGTTTAAGTATTTTGCTTAAACCATTCTATTGGTTGATAGTGGATAAGGTAGTTAGTTA